TCCCCCCCCCCCCCCCCCCCCCCCCCAGTTTCCAAAAAGGCAAATAGTCTAGAATGAGAACAATAGCCTGATCCAGGAAAGCCATCGCCCCATGGGCCACCTGGGGTAAAAAGCCCCACTGTTTTCTGCTTGGGGGCTCCCCTACAGATGAGTCCTGTCTCCCCCCCCCCCATCCCCCTTCCCCGGAAGTCCAGAGGCCCTAGGAACAGAGCTGCCGTAGGATTAGCTCAGGGAAGGAGTTGCTCACCTGCTCCTCCCCTCTGACTCAAGTCATAACAAGTAACCTGGTTCTCCTAGCCCAGCCGAGGAGGCGGGAGGGAGGTAGGAAGGGAGGAGGGAGAGCCAGAGCAGGAACAGAATGGCAAGCCCTTAGCTGGGGAGAAGCAGCGTTGCCACTCAAACCCCCTTCATTCCCTGGACTTGGATTTCCGAGGGAAGAAGCTGGTTTTCTTCCTTAGTTCCAGGGTCTAGGCATCCGAAGCAGGTAAGGGCAGGGACTGGACTGAGGTGGGTTTTCTGGGTGGGGAGACAAGTAAGTAGAAGAAAGTTCAAGGCAGTGACTGAGGCAGAGGGCATAAGACAGGACTTTGGAGTGGTGACTCTGAAGGGTGAGGCCATCTCGGTTTGATCCCTGTTGTATTTTATGCCTCAGTTTCCTCAGGTGAGAAGGCAAAATTCCTCTTTTTCCAGGTGAGAAGTTGGGAGTAGAGAAAGACAAATAGACTAGACGAGGTTTGAGGATTTTGAGAGAAGAATGAATAGGGGGAATGAATAAGTGTTATGACTGGGGGAGGGTGGGAAGCTGGAAGGAAGCCCCGGAAGACTTAGTTTAAGAGAGTTTTCCCTCCCTCCCTTCTCCTCTTCTCTGTCACTATATCAGGCAACATCCTACAGCCAGATGGACTATTTCTTTCCCAGCAGAAAGCACTCAGCAAACAATGAAAGAACTGGAGTCTAGGGACTGGGAGATTTGGGAAAGGACTTGAGAATTTTGGGGGAGGGGGTGACAAGTTACCTAATGTGGTGTCATCCAATGGGGATTTTCCTAGAAGGCAGCCCCTATTTTGAGATGACCAAGGCCACAAAAGGAACTGACCTAGGAGATGACTATGGCAGGTACCTGGTGGCTACTTTCCAGAATAGGATTAGGGGCCAGATGTGGATTGGAGGAGATAATCTTCCTATTAATTAATTAATTAGAACTTCGTGTCCTCTTTTCAACAACTCTCTAACTGACATAGACTCATTTAAGCACACTGGTTTTCCGGCTAAAACATTGAGCTATTCACTCTCTTTATCCCCACTCCCATTCTGGGATGTACAGATGAACTTCTACATACTTTTTCTTCAGATGAGAATTGAATGAAGTGTTTTTGTATAATTTAGAAAGTTCTTTCAGACTTGAACTTTTTACCAATATGTTATATAAACAAAAGATGGAAATAATACCTTTCATTTTCCTTTTTGCCTTGTGACTATTGAAGAAAAAGCAACAGGCCCTAACTAGAGTAAGGCCTTTCATGTCACCTTCAGAATGTTAAGTTCTTTGAGGTCAGAAACATTGTCTTTCCCTTTCGTTGTCTCCTGGGAGCTTAGAACTATGCCTGGCATGTAGTAAGCGCTTTATAAATGCTTGTTAATTT